GTTTGAATTATGATGATTACTTTTCAAGCATTATCATCATCATCATTATAACTGAATGTTTTTTTCTGATTTATCAAACCAAGTTCAGTTCGTCTATCCCCATGAATATGTGTTTGGTATTAATTCATTTTTTCCCGAGAAGAAAATCTTAATCTTGTTTTTTTTTATTTCAAAAATTTACCATTCTTATCACCAAATTCGTATTATTATCATGACGGTTTTGTTCTTATAAATTATATTAGTCAGTGTGTGTGTGTATGTCCCTATAGAGAAATTCACAATGTGAATTTATCAGAAACATTATGTGTGTATGTGATGTATGAATAAATATATAACCTGCATAGATAGAGAATAATATTCTAATTATGACATATAATGGTTAACAAACAACCAAAAAAAAAAAAAAAAAAAGACTATGGGGGGGAAAAAAACAACCGTTGGGTTTATTTTTTAAAAAAAAAATTTAAAAAAAAAAAAAAAAAAAAAAAAAAAAAAAAAAGACTATGTGTGTGTGTGTGTACGTTTGTGTTAACATTAAATAAAACATAAGAATTTCTGGCTTTATACATTCATTCGTTATCATTATTATTATTATTATTATTACTGTTGTATGATAATTCTGGTTATCATAAGAATCCTAAAAAAAGAATAATAATAATAATAATCTACCTTTTGCATCATCATCATCATCTCTATGGAATTCTCAACTGAATGAATGAATGAAAAAAAAAAGATTTTTTTTTATGACAACAACAATAATGATGATTATGATAAAAACTGTAAGACAGTGAGATATATCAAGTTTGTTTTTTTTTTGGTAATGAAAAAAAACAAACATAATCGATGGTGATCATCATTATTTTATCGTTTCTTTCTTTTTTTTTAGTTTTGGCTGACGCTTCGTATCATTATCTTGATGATGATGATGATGATCATCATCATTGAAGCCGGTAACAATTTTCAACTAAAAAGAAAAACTTCTACATCATGATCATCATCATCATCATCATCGTTGTTTTTTCTTCAACAAATTCCGGGATTGTTTGTTGATTTTGCTTTATTAACAATTTATGATGTCTGTTTGTGTTTGTGTGTGTGTAATGTAATTTCAAGATTATCATCATCATCATCTGGGTTGAAAAAAAATGAAAAAATAAAATTCAAAGAATCAAGAATAACAGTGAAGAGAAAAACAATATAATTTATAATCTTAACATTTAAGAGATATATTCGTTTTTCCAAAAACAAACAAACAAACAAGAAATGTTTCCATAGAGATTTCTTTCCAGTGTATTTGGGCAAAATTCTTAAATATTTTCATCAATAATTTATTGGTTGATTACGTTTTTGACTCTCCAATAGTAATCATAATCATCAAGATGTCGGAAATTTCAAATCCATAAAAACTAATGAAATTATTTTTTGAAACATTTTTTTTCAATTTAATTTAAAAATTTGAAGGCTGATGTCACCATATGAATAATTGATTATTGTTTGTTTGTAAACTAATCGATATTGTTGATGTTTTCAGAGAAAAAATAAAACATTGAAACTCAACGGGTTATTTCCTGAACTTTTTTTTTTGTTTTGTTTCTTGGAAAAAGAATTTGTCAGAATTTCTTCATCATCATCAGTAACAAATGTTTTTAACACCAGCAAAATACCATTATTCAATGGTGTAGTGTATGTTTTCGGGTATTCGGGTAAATGAATTCGCGGATAACGGGAATCCTAATTTTGTTTGCTCGAAATTTGCTACTTTTTTTTCTGGTACCCGGTATTTATTTATATATAAAATACCAACACACAAAATACACACATTGTAAGCGACAAAAGTGAATGAAGATTGATGATCATCAAATGGATGATGATGATGATGATGATGACCAGAGCAAAAAAAAAAGAAAAAATTATTCAAGTTTCTTTACAAAATGTATAATGTGTGTCAGAGAAAAAAGAAAAAGAAAATACAAAACCAAATACCCGAACAACAACAACAACAGAAAAAATTTTTATAAAATCAAACTAAAAGCCCGGTATGTTTTATTTTGCACGGCTGTTGTTGTTGTTGTTATCGATGTCCAAAATGTTGTTTCAAAATTTTCTTCTATCGATAACAGTTGGAATAGTTGGTGGAACATAACAACAACATCCCAATGATCAGCCAATGTATCTGTCAATGTTTTTTTGTTTTTTGTTTTCTGTTGGTTGGTTGGTTGAATATCACTATTCTGATGTTATCTTTTGGAATTTTTTTTTTATTCAAGTTGATCACTACTACCTTTACCAACTAGATTAATGTGTTTTTTTTCACATTAAAATGTGTGTTTGTGTGTTTAAAGCTTAATCATCATCATCATCATCATTCCCAAATGATGAAAGTAATACAAGTAAAAAAAACCAAGTGACAATGAAATTTTTTGTTCTTTTTTATCTCAACCAAAATATATTCACATCGTTCGTCTCTATATAAAAAGTTCCAGTTTGTCAATTTTTCCTTGAATATTTGTCGAATGTTGCTGCAGCTAACCAGATATAGTTGTCCGTTACAATGAGATAATATAGAGACTGATTTTGTTTTTTTTTACTCCTGGATCGTTTAATGAGATCATCTTCATATTGGGTTTTTTACTTTTCTCGTATCTCGAGCGAAAAATTTCCCCGAAAAAAGTAATTTTAGTAGAAATTATTTTTTTTAAACAAAAACCAAAAACCAAAAAAAAAACAATAATCAAAATGGAAAATGAAAACCATTTGATATATTAAAAACAAAAAAAAAAACTGTTTTTTTGCGAAAAAATACAACAAAATTATGAATGAATTAAACATAAGCATTTTTTTATCATTTGGTTGAAATGAAACCAATGATATCCCCTAACCCAGGTATCAGGTGTCGACAACAACAACGATGACTAACCATATAACGGGTAGCACAACATAACGCCCATATTAATCCAAAATTCGAGTTCATTCAATCAAACAAGAGAGAAAAAGAAATTTTATAATACAGGAAATTTTCCCAAAAAACAACAACAACAATCATCATTTCCAGATAAATTTAATCCATTTCTCATCATATTCATCATTCATTCATTCATTCATATAATGTTTATCACACACATACATCACAACAATGGACAATTTTGTCGTCGTCGTGATTAATAATTGATTATAATTTATGTTGAAACAAAACAAAAAAAACAGTAAAAACATTATCGATAATTTAGACGTTTTGTTTTTTGGCTGTGCAATTCATTTTATTTCATTTCTGTGTTAAACATCATCATGGATCAACTTTGAATTTTTTTTTCTCTTTGGTTCGCGCATAAATATTTGATTAAAAAACAAAAAATATCTTAATATTGAACCCTTTTCGAGCATCATTATTTTAAAAGGTGTGATGTGTGTGTGTGTGTGTTGCCGTGCAAAAAAAATTCAAACCGAATTAAATATTAATGTGTTTTTCAAGCGAAAAACAACAAAATGTTTAACAGAAAATTTAACGATTCTTTTTTTTCAGTGACCTTTGTCGATGATGTTGATGTTTTTGGCGATGATAATGTTTTTGGGTGATCATGAAAATAATTGAAAATAACAAAAATTTAATATAAAGAAAAATTTATAGTTTTAAATTCCGGTGCAATTTTCTTCGTTGGGCAATTTATTTTAATTTTTCGACAACAAGAAAAAAAAATTTATTATCATTTTTTAAAAAAGAAAATAAATAACATCCAGAATGTGTGTCCATATGAATGTCGAATAATGATGATGATCTATTGCCTGGTAATAATATTTACGATGACATCCAATGATACGAAACATTCTAAAAAAAAGAAAAAAGAAAAACGTGTTAGTAGTATTTGACAAGTTATACAAAGATAAAAAATCTTCCTTGGATTCAGATAATGGATCAATTTCATGACTCAGTTGGAAAAAAATATTTATTTCGATCATTATTTTCATATTGGTAATCGCGTAAAATCAAAAATGTTTGATCAAAAAAAAAAAATGTTTGTTTGATTTTAGTTTAATTTTTTGAAATATTGAAAAAATTCTTTTGACAAAATATATTTCAAAGAACCAAAAAATTTCATTGTTGATTTTCAATCGATTTGAAATGAATTTGAATGATATGGTTTTTTTCAAAGCGATTATGAATAACCGACTTTGTGAAATCAATCAAATTGTGAATTATATTTCAATCGATAATTAAATGTTGGAAATTTGGGAAATGAGGGAAAGAAAATGACCAAACATTTTTGTTTCATGGATTACCATCGAACCTTTTACCATATCATCATTGTCCAAAAGATCCATTAATTGAAAACAAAAGTAAAAAATTTTACAAAAATCCGACTTACCTGAAAATTGACATTATATCACAGCGAAAATCTAAAACAAAAAACAAAGTAATTTCTATTGAAAAATTGGCAAAAAAAAAATTTCTTACCTTAAATTAACGATAAACAAGAAACAAAAAATGTTTTATTTCTACATGATGATTAGTTTTTTTTCAAACATAAAAATTATTAAATAAATAAAATGAAAAATTTAAATTTGACAAGAATGTTTATTACGAAACAGAATTAACATTATCATTATTTGTATTAATACAAACATTTCTTTTCTTTTACATATATATTTTTTATTTAACACTGAATAAACACTTTGATTTTAAATTTAAATTGTAATCAAACAAAAAGGGAATAAAGATGAAAAAGATAAAAATAATGATATATAATGAATTAAATATTTATAAATATTGATCACAATAAAGGCATCTTGATTGACCCCCCATTTTATAGTATAATAATAATGATAATGATAATGGCATTGATCAAATAAAAATTAAGAGGTTTTCATGTTGATAGTAAAACTTTGATTGAACATTTATTTTTTCTCAGATGATTTCGTTATCTTCGCCAATTATTTTTCAGGTAGAAATATACTATAATTTCCGCAATTTTTTTGTTGAAAGAAATAAAAAAAACAAAAACAAAACGTTATTTTTCTTCCTTGTTTCAGATAATTCAACAATCAAGGTAATCAAGGATAAATTATATATCTCCAAGGATATCACAGTTTTTTTTTTGAAAATAAAGATGTCAGATTATCAAAAAAATCAGAAATTTTTAAAATTATGAATTTGACGAATTTTCGGGTCATCATCAGATATTAAAGATAAATTAAAATGTTTAAAGTTCCAACTATTTAGGGTGAATTCAAAAGGGAAAAATGAAAATAAAAATAAAATAATAATGAAAAAATAATGAAAAAAATAAGCAAATTTTTATAAAGGTAAAGAGAATGGGTATTCTGAATAAGCTTAAAACGAATGAATATGAAAAAATCATCAACATTATAATCGACATACCGGTTGATAACGGAAATTAACATCAGAAGTTGTAGGTGAAGAACCACGATGATTACGCAAACGTTCCATATGACGACAAATAAAATTTCTCACATTGATTCTATGTGTGAATTAGAAAAAAAAATTGAAACTTTGAAAAAAAATAAATCTATCTACACTTACTCATGATAATAACGATGTGAAACAAATAAAAGGCAACATATCACTATCAATAATAAAATTATTGGCAACATAAATGATCGTTGTTTGGGGCCATTACCATTAGAATCATTATCATGATTAGATCGACTAGATTTTTGTTGTTCTTCCAATAATGGACATACTAATGGTGTACGCCAAAGGAAATAATATTCACAATCATCACTTTCATAAAGAAAACTAACATCGTTAGATTCATTATCTTTGTTATTTTGTTGATGCGAATCAATACATTCGAAAAATATTTTTGTTGATGCTTTTTTCAATTTATTACGGCCACAAGTTGATGTTTTTGAATGAATATTCAGATTCAATGCAATATTACCATCGGATACAAATTGCCATTCATTCAATGTACCGATATCACGATTTAAACCATTACCATTTGTTTGACAAACTGCTGCCTGTGAACATTGTTTATCGGCCATTATTGGATCATTATTTGGATCAAGATGAATATGATAATCATAATGTTCAACAAGACCATCACGTGTACGTGTTTCACGTGCAATAATTTTTTTCTTAAACAATTCGCTTAAATCCCAACGTAATTTTGATGTTGTATCAATAAGAATCATATCATTTGTTAATGATAAACGATATTCATCATTTTTTACCAAATTGTGTGGACATGCAAAAGATGTATTCCAAATGAAATAAAGTGTACAATCTGTTTGATTAATAAATTTGGGTCCATTTATACCAGTATCGGTTGAACATTGAAATTGAATTTCTGTTTTCGATGGTAACAATGTTCCTTTCGGGCCAATGCAATTCAATATTTCTTCTTCATAGGTCAACAATAAATGTTTAGTATCCGGATCCAATGTAAGTTCATGATCAGAAACTTTTCCAAAACCTTTTGTACATCCATCTTTTTCACTACATTGACAAACAGCAGATTGTTTTCCACATGTATTTGCTATATCTTTTGAAAATTGTTGAAATGTTGCCGATGGTAATGATTTGCAAACATTTATCAGATAATAATTATCCGTATTATTCATTTTAACACGCCATGAATGCGTTAATGATGATAATTGTCGTAATGAATAATAATTGCCATCGGAATCAAATAATGAACAGCTTGGTATTTTTAGGCTACAAACCGATGGTGTTTCCCAATACATCTTCACTAAACATTCATCATAATGTACAACGATTGGATTGGATTGTTTTGTGGAACAAACCATTTCAATATCAGTTGAACGACGACGAGATAATAATGTTTTATCACAAGGTGCTCCACCACTATAACGTAAATGTAGATTTTGCTTCATATAGACACGCAACTGATTCATTGATCCATAACTAACAAGAGTTTTATCAACATTTGAAAAACAAATCGCTTCATTTGGACCACAATCGACTGATCTTACTTTTTTACAAATGTTGAAAATAAATTTTGAACTAGTACGATTCAATGGATTTTTAGGATTAATTTCATAATCAAACGTTTTCATTAATGGATTAAAATCGGCCGATAGATTTGTACGTGGATCGGTATAGACACAATCTTCAAATTTTGTTTCAGTCAATTTCTGTGCACAGGCAATTGGTGATTGTACAATAAATTCATATGTACATTTTCGACGTTCATCTGGATCAACTTGCATAATTTTGATCATTTGTCCAGATTCACGATCACATTCCATACGAAAGCTACTGGTTAAATTAATTTTCGAATCATATGGACATGGATCACCATTATTCAAGAAAAAATAAATATCGCCATCAAAGCCGGTCATTGGTGGTTCAGATGGTTCACCAAGATTCGTTATAATTGTTTCACCAGGTGAATGCATCTGTATCATACAAGCAGCCGAATTTGGTTTGCATAGTTTTACTAAATTACTTCTTTCACGATTCAATGATTTGCAGAAATTAATCTTTATCAATGTTTGATCATCACTCAATACAAAATGATTTCCCATACTCAACGATAATGGACTAAAATCAATGAAATGTGTTTCATTTTCAAATGTACAATGACTTGTTTTCGGCACTTCTTCAACACATGCTAATGAGGTATACCAAATGAATGAATATGAACGATTTGATTCGCCAATAAATTCTGGATGACCTTTACCAGCTGTTTCATCACAGACAAACGATATATGTGATTTTCGTGGAGTATGATTCACATCATTATATGGATCACCATTAGTGAATGTCATATTTAGTATGGAATTCCAATAAACTAATTTATCATGAGAAGTGCCAAGACTAAATTTTCGTTTTTGACCCAGAAGTTCTTTTTGACAGATTGCCGTATCAGGTCGTTCACATGAACCATCGACAATAGGACCACAAAGATTTAATTCAAATTCATATTGATCACCACGAATAACATAATAGCTTGCTGATTTTAATGGTGACAAATCAAATGAATGTCCTGTGAATGAATCATAAATTTTACAATCATCACCAATAACAGGATTCATTGGACAAGCGGCCGGTGTACGAAATTCCAAAACATATTCTGAATGTTCTCCATCAAAATCAATTTCAACAGGCTGAACTTGATACGTTGAACAGATGAATATGATTCTTGTGTTGACAGTTTTGTTACGAGTAAGATCAAAGCCATCAGTATATAATAATTCAAATGTTTTTGATTGCTTATTATATGTGATGGGACGATTAAAATTACCAATATTAAATGAAAGATTATTTGCTTTATCAATCATACAAGCAGCTGAATGTTGACAATTTTTTGGAATTTTCATGTTCTTAACCATAGATGGTATACGATCACAAACATTGAATAGAAATTGTATATTCGTTGATTGTGTACGATGAACGGAATCTGATAATCGTAATGATGATAAATCAACTTGAATAAGATTATCGTTTGAATCTTTTGTAATCAATGAACAATTTAGATTTGTTTGTTCAAATAATGGACATACGATCGATGTTTTCCAATTAAATTTGTACTCACAAGTATCACTTGCAAATCGAATGAATTTTGGTTCGGTAGATTTGTCAGCAAATCTATCACATTCAAGCTCAATAATTGTACGTGAATTCATTGAATTTCCTTGATTATTTTTACATGCAACCTTTTTCGATGAGAAAACAATATTTAAACGATTATCAGCCTTGAAAAATTTTCCTTCAGATTTCGAACCGATTGATCGAAAACCATGACCATCAACTAAACAAACAGATGATGTAGTTGAACATTTACGGCTAACCGAACCACAAATATTCATTATAATTGTTTTGTTTCGATCTTGAATCGGTATATTTTCGATTACAAATTCCGTTTTTGGCAATGTTTTTAGATTGATCTGTTCAAATTGGCATGTATTCGGATCGATTAATTGTTCAATCATATCCATTGGACACGCATAATCGGTAATCCATTCGATTATATATTCAGAATCTAAATCCGAAACTAATATCGGATAATTACGATACGAAACACTTTTTGATAATTGTCGTGGACATATGAAACGAATTTTGGTAACAGGATTGAATTCTGATGCTGTTGCTTTACGATAATAAGTAAGTTCAATATGTTCACGTTCGTTCTGTTCATTCGATGGAATGAATTTCATATCAGACCATTTATATGTTCCAACTGATTCAATGAAGCCTCTTTTGGAACCAGTTGTCAATTGACAAGCAGATGAGCCTTCAAGTGTTGAGCAACGATTTTCCATACCACCGATTGCCGAACAAACATTGATATAAAATTCTTTTGAATCGGCCATTACTTGATAACTACCATTAGTACGTATCAAAGGTGTTAGATCGCGAATACGATTTTGATTATCAAGAACATAGCATTTCATTTCATTCAAACCGAATGATGATGTAGGTATTTGTTGTCGACAAGCAGCCGATGTTTCCCAATTTAATATGATAGCACATTTGGTTTTAATCGAAACGAGTGGAAATGATGGATGGCCCTGAAATCAATTATTTTCTATACATTAGTCGTCCACGATAAAACATCTAATGTTTTGGAGAAAAAAACTTACCAAATGATTTCCACATGTAAATCGTAAATTAATTGTATAATTAATATTATCAGCACATGATGAACCAATATAAATTGCACGTGTTGTACCGAATTCCGATATGACATGTTTTAATTGATATCCAATCGATCGAATATGACCATTTTTATCGGTTATATTATGACAAATATGACTTTGTTTACATTCATCTGGAATGTAATAATTTCTATAATTCGATGAATTTATAAATGTTGAACATGGTGATATGTCAATGTAACTTGAATCACGCGCTACATTCCATGGTGTTGAGCCACTTTATTTTCGGAATAATATTCAATTTAAAAAAATAATCGATTTAAAAAGTCAATAACTTACATATTTAATGCATGTGAATCAATATGACCATTTTCACCACAAATATCCAATTCATTGATCGATTTCGATGTTTGTGATGTAGTTGATAATGATGAACAGGTAGATATAATGATGAGCAATAATAATGAAGAAAGAAACGGTATTAGTTTCGAGATCATTTTGGCTTAATTTTTCCAAAATTTTTTGAACATTTAATGATGAAAAACTTGAAGATGAGGAAAAAAAATTTCAATATTTTTTTGCCATAAACGTCAAATGCCTTTGTTTGATGGTGTGATTGACAATGATTAATCTTGAGCATCAAATTTCTTAAACGTTTTGTGTATATTGTGTGTGGTTATGATGAAGTATAATGATAGATGTTTGTGTGTTAATAAAACTTGATGAAAAAAAATGAATGATGAAATTCGAAATGATGAAATTCACCAATTGACAATTTCGAAAGTATTTATATTTGAAAAAAACAAAAGTTAAATTTAAATTGAAATAAACATTTATCGAAACAAAATTTTAGATGACATGAATTTTTTTTTGATTGTTTTGTATCAAATAAACATCACGATTAAAATGATTTTGGTGGTGTTTATATCGTCAATTGAATCATCGGTTTTCTTTTTTTTGATCATCGAAATTTACAAACGCATATTCATCACAACAATCGAACAAATGGTTTATTGAAGACATATAAAAGCAGCCACACACACATAAACACACATTTTCATACCACTAGATTATCATTTGCCGTATAGATAGCGGTATTATAATCTGATACTGATTATAATCATTCGATAATTTGTCTGTACATAGAAGACGTTTTCGAAGGAATTTACGATTTTGTTTTTTTGCGTCGAAATTTTTTTTCAAATATTTTTTCAATTTTGATTTTTTTTTTATTTTCTTGGAAAATCAATATTGAACCCCAATGATTTTTTAGCACTGATTAGCAATCATTTTCATCAGTATTTCTCATTTTTTTCTGTTTTTATCGCTAAAGTCGAGTAACACTTACCTTTTTTTTTAAATATAAAATTGTCATGGTATCCTTACATTTGTCTGGTTACTAACATAATCTAAAATTTTTTTTATATGTTTTAAATCTATTTAACTCAATACTCTTATCAAATATAACATTGTCAATGATCTTGATCTTGAATCCTTGAAAAAAAAGAAATCTACCTGCAAAGATATCTATAACGATAAGATAATTACGGTATCGTAAACGTTATTATTGGATGATTATGAAAAAATCAACAACAACAACAACATTAAATATAACGGTAATTGTAGGATGCTAAAAGCCTAGATTGATAGAACAACAACAACAACAAAACTGAATAGATTCGTTTGTTTTGATAGTAATCAAATATGAGGATTATGATGATGACAATAGGTATGCGTTTTATTCGAGAATTGTTGTTGTTGTTTGTTGCCTTGTGACAATTTTAGTAATAATAAAGTTCATAAAACTTTTTTTTGGTTTTTGATATTTAAAAAAATTTCATAAATCAAAAACAACTGCGTAGTATTTTGAATTATTAGATTGTGTTTTTTTTTTGCTTTCATTTCATCTCGTTGAATCCTTTGAACACATTTTTTGACACAAAAAGCGGATATTTGATTTGTAATTTTTTTTTTCGAAAAAAAAGATAAATAAAATTGATAAATTTCATTCATAGATGGCATTCTAGTCACGTTATTTGAATGCTTTTTCGGGATGCATTTTTTTCAAAAAAAATTGTAATTTTCTTTTCAAATCAATCAAATTTTATGATAAAACTTTGATTCGAATTAATCTATTTAAACTGTTTATAATTTGGCCATGAATATACCAATATCGTTGGCGTCAAACAACGACGCCAACAATATATTTCAAATCAGAAAAAATAAACATTTCATCGAATAATTAAATTAAGAAAATTCGATTGGAATCCTGTTTTTGTTTTTTGTTTTGTTTTTTTTTTGCATCCAAAACAAAAATCATATTCTCATCAATAAACAGTTGAAAAAAATCGAATCGGCAATCATTATCATTTCGAGGTTTTTTTTCCAGCGAAAAAAGCCAGTTTTGACGATATTCAATAGTCATGGTGGTGGTGGTGGTGGTAATATTCAATGGTGAACAGCATACAAAAATTCACTAAAGTTTGTGGTATGTGCTGTCTTTTTGTCTTCGGCAATTATATTCAACGATGAATGAAATTGAATGAATGAATAAAAATGGATAGACTCAACAAACAGACAAACACAAACTTTGAAGAACACACGGCACGGCCAGTATGAAGAAACGAAAAAATTTCTTTTGTATATTTTTGTTTGATGTTTTGTGATGGAATAAACAAAGATACAAAGACAATAAAAATCATTTTGAAATGTGAAATGTGAAAAACAACAACAACAATTCAAGAAAAATTGTCGACGTTGCCTGAAAAAAATGATATTTGATTGATTGATCTTTATTTGTTGATTTTTTTCGCCGAAATCCAAATTCGAACGTTTTCATTTTCAAACGACAACATTATTTGTGAATGATCCATTATCTGATAAAAAAAAAACCAACCCAAAAAATATTGTTTTGCCACTCCTTCAATCTACATCCAAAAATTTTTTTTAACCCCGGATAATCCTTTCGATGATATCGTCGAGGAAATAAACAAGTAAGTAAGTTTTAAAAAGATTTTCTTTTCCCATTTTTTTTACAATGAGAAGAAAAGAAAAAAAACCATTAACATATCATTAACATTGAAACTTCTGAATTGTATTTCCAAGAAAAAATAAATAATGTTATATTGACTGATTGAAAACACCGTTAAAAATACCTTGTTACAGTCAATATTATTATTATTATCATTATTATAATTGTAAATGGATTTATTTTATTTTATTGAAAAACTTTTAGCCTATGTCATTGTTGTTCGAGTCTATAATCATTAATTCAGGATAATTTGATTACAATGATAATCGATTTCATTTCCAGTAAAAAAAACAAAAAATCGAATCTTTTCGGACATCAAACATTCGAATGATTCATTCTATTAGCTACATGATTAGCATTGAGCTGAATCATTTGCTGAAATCATTCGTTTTTTGTGATGACTTTGTTTACATGATTTTCACAATTCGCGAATCACAAAACCCAAAAACAGAAATATTCATCCCACTTGACAAAAAAAAATAACAACGGTTGCTAATATCAACCAAATGTGTGTTCAATATTTCAACAGAATTTTTTTGTTTTGTTTCAAACGAAAAACATGAAAAACATTAACATTTTTTTCAGCTTCCAGTTTTCTCCATACATATATTTTATGCATCAAGGAACTTACTTAAACTTGAAAATTGATTAATAAAGTACAAGTGTAATTAAAACAAGAAAAAAAATCTTCTGATTAATTACATTGCATTCAAGAACAAATGCAAAAAGAAAAAGATCAAGATCAAATCAACTGTCAATGTAAGTTTGTTTGAAAAAAACACATGAAAATTGATAAAAACCAAATTTCAAATTACCTGATAATTATTATCGAGAATAGAATTATCGATAAAGTTAATCAAGATTGATATTTTAAATTTTCTAATTTCTTATCCTTTCTTCAACCTTCAAACCTTGTTCGTTCGTTCGTTCATTTTTCATCCAAAAACAAATTAACAGTCGATAAAATTATCATTGGGTGACAATATTTGTTGTTGTTGTTGTTGTTATTGTTGTTGGTGACATTGTCTAACTGTTTAAAAAAATTTTAATCGATTTTTTTTTGTGAAAAAAATGCCTTGGAAAATCAACAACATGGGAAAGGCTTTTTTTTCTTTTCGCTTGTTGTTTTCGTCGAGGACATTTTTATTATCATTTCGTTTTTTAATATTCAAAGAAATTCAATTTGATCGAAAATATCATCATCATCATCTTGAATGAATGATGACTATTAATATTTGAAAATTTAGCAAAAAAATATTATTACTTTTCTTTTCGTTTTCGAAAAAATGGCAACAGGAAAAACATCAAAAAAATGATTGGTGATGTCATCGAATGAATTTCATTTTGGTTTTGTTCAGCAGCAAAATGACATCATTTTCAATGATCATAATTTTCAATGTTATTCAATGAATCTTATTGGCCATTATTTTGCGTTATTATATAACAACAACAACAACGAGAAAAAAAATGATTAAAATAACAATTATTATTTAGAGATTAGTGAAGGACAATAAATATCGATTGTTTTCTTCTTTTCTTTTTTTTTTGACCATTTTGAATCTCTCCATATTCCATCTTTCTCTCTCTCTCTCTCTGAATTTTTTTTTCTTCTAACCATTTTCTCTTTCGTTTTGTTTGTTTGTACAATTTTAGCACATTTTCTTTCCGATTGGAAATTTTATTTGATCAATCAAATTCCATTCTTCTTTGCAATCTTGGTATCAAAAAATATCTTCTTTCATCTTTTTTTGTTTGTTTGTTTCGTGAATGTATTTCGATAATCAACATCGAATCAATCATTATCGATTATATTCAAATGGACAACAACAACAACAACAACAAAAAAACTTGATTTATCGTCGTCAATTGTGTTCAAATAAATCGGCAACCATGATTTGCTTAAGAATTTGGTTGTTGTTTTTGATGATGATGATGATGATGGCCACAACCAGTATTTTTAATTCTTTTTGGATGGCCGAAGCATATAGTAGTGGTGCACCAAATAATCAAAAAGTTTGTACAACAATGATACCTGGACATGGTAAACAACAAAATACATTATCACCATATAAATTAACCATCAATATAATCAATGATAATCGCCATTATAAACAGCAAATAATTTTGATTGATCTTGAAGCAACAGCACATGTTACATTTGCCGGTTTTATTGTACAAGCTAAAAGAAATGATGATGATATTTATCAAATTATTGATGATGATGGTTATTTTGAACGTTTAACAAATAATACAATAACAAAAAGTTGTTTATCACATATACATGTAAGTTTTTTCCTTCATTCATCACTAAAACTTAATCGAATTAAACGTCAATTTTCACACATTTCATTAATCTTTGACCATTTCTATATTCACCCACCATAAAAAAATAATAATAATAATAAAAGAATACCTGGACACATGCAGATGGTGAACCAAAAACTCGTGTATCGGCAAGATGGATACCAAATACACCGACATTTAATGGAAGCCTTTATTTTCAAGCAACCGTTGTACAAGTAAAACAAGCATATTGGAATGATATTCGTTCAGAACCAATCTATTTTTTGAATGGTTATCGTACGGATGAATCATCATATTCAAAATTGATTGATAATCATAATAATCAACCAATCGAAATAAATAATAATGATTCACCAAAAATCGATATTGATTATGATCAATGTTCGAACCGGTTATGTATTGGATTGGCCAATAATAATGATAATGATGATAATAGCAATTGCGTTGGCAGTAAATCCTGTCGTGCATTAATGTCAGGTTTGTTTATTATTTCATTTCAATTCAATACAATTTTATTTGACAGCCCAATGTAATTCATTCATTTATTATTATCCATTTTTTTCTCTTGATTTATTACCATTGATTAATTTGATCAATGACAGTTTGGAAAAATGAAAATGGTGAAAATGATTTCAGCATACAAGCTAAACAATCGACTATGGCCAATTTATATTATTCGATGGCATTGTCCGATGATAATCGTATGGGCAATGATTTTGTTGTCGATTGTCTAGTCAATTCAAATGGTCATGTTATGGTTGATCTAAGTCAAAATTTTGGAAAATCAAATGAACAATTATCTAGAAAAGAAAAGATGGATATTCTTCAGGAACAAAATGGACAATTTATCGATGGTATTGTTCGATGTAATTGGCGATTTGTTCCAAGAAAATTTCGTGTTGGAAATAATGATTATGATATTTCGAAACGTTCATATCATATATTTTTAGCATCAGGATCATATGATACTGATGGTCAAGAAAATCATAAAGAATATCATGATATTAAATTACGAACATCCGAACCGATTGATCTATCATCAATTACTGCCGGTAGTTTGCAGGTCAAAGATCTTAGCGTATTGATTCGTGTACATGGTAAATATATTCAATGATTCAATCTATTAATGCATTATATAATGGAATTATCATTTGAAAAAAATAAGGATGTTTTATGTTGATCGCATGGTTCGGTACGGTACCTATTGCAATTACATTGGCCCGTTATTTCAAAACAGCCTGGCCTGGTCGTTTACTTTGTGGTGTTCAAATCTGGTTTGCTGTATGTTTTTTCATTTAATTAATTTGAAATCAGAATTAAATTCAGTTTTTCCTTGAATTTTTAGTTTCATCGTTGTCTAATGATATTTAGCATCTGTTTAATGATTATTGCACAGATTTGTATCTTTTATTATATTGGTGAATATCGTTTGGTCAGTATTTCATTAAATATGATTATCATTTTTTTACAAAAGTTTGATTTATTATAATGATTTTTTTTCTTCTTAGGGTATACATCAAATTCTTGGTTCAATTGCATTTACATTGGCCATATTACAACCGATTGGTGCTCTATTTCGACCACATCCTGGTACACCAAAACGTTGGCTTTTCAATTGGGCACATTGGTTTGGTGGTACAGCCGGCCAAATTACTGCTGCTGCTGCCATACTATTAGCAAGTAAACTTAAACTTGCAAATCTTCCCGATTCATTCTTGTACATAGCTATTGTTTGGATATTCTGTCATGTTATTTTACATTTATTATTTCAATTTCATTCATTTTGTACATCATCCTCATCATCATCGGTATCTACGGTTTCTAATTCAAATGGTTTAAGTGAGTAATTTTTTTTATCATCAAAACAAAAATTGTATGCATTCTTTTTCCTTTTTCGATATAGAATCACCGGATATTGCATTACAAGAAATGCATCATAATCAACGAAGTTTTTATGGAAATAATAATATTAATCATCATCATCATCATCATAATCAATCATCAACAACAACATCATCATTTCGTTATTTTTTATTGGCAATTTATATTATATTGATTGGATTTTTTGTTACAATTCTTGCCATATCTATTGCAATACCATCAATGTTAAAAAATTTACTTTGAAAAAGAAAATTTCATTTTGGGCTATGTATTTAACAAAACGAAAAAAATTTTCATTCTATTCACATCATTATTTGTTTGTTTGATAATTGTTTTTAATTGAAAATAAAAGATAATAAAAAAAGAAAATTAAAACCAAACAAAATTACACTACACTATCTATTTATTTTTGCATTCGTTTTAATTCACGATTACTTAGGCCATATGCTTTCAATCTTTGTACACTAACACCAGATATTTCGGATATTTTTCCATTTGAATCTTTTGGATTCGAATTTTTATTATTTGTTCGACGTCTTTTACGAGATTTTTTCTTTATCGATTGTTCTACATTTCCATTCGATGATGATTGTTGTTGTTGTTGTTGTTGATTATTGATAATTTTATCTGATAATACTGATTCCGAATCGGTTTTGTTGGCACGATTTCGTTTACGTCTACGTTTACGTTTTTTTGTCGATTCTATTTTAACCGTATCACCATTGTCATTCGTATTAGTTAATTGATTATCTACAATTTTGTTATTTGTTTCATCATTTTCATTCGATAATTGATCAACAGCAATTGGATATAAAGACTTTTTCTTTTTGGTTGGCATTAAATCACCATTATCATTGTTATCATCATCATTATTATAAACACTTTTAAGAATTTTTCTTTTCAATTCAAGATTTTGTGATTTTTGTTGATAAACTTTTCGTTCATATTGTTCTCGTTCTTTTGAACGATATTGTGTCATTTTTTTCAATGAACACCAACGATTCAATTCTTTATCATCGGCTAATAATATTTCTTCATCGGTAAGACCAAAATCATTTGGTTCAACCATACGATAACGAAAACGTGTGGCCAAATCACCACCAACAATATCATCATACAAACCAATATCATCATCGGCCATAATATCTTTATGTTGTTTAATTTCTCGTTTATTTTTCTTCTTTCTTTTTTTCGTATTATCATCATTGATATTCATTTCTTCATAAAGCTAAAAATAAAATGAAATAAAATTTTTTAAAAACAAAAATTCAATTATTCTGAAAAAATAATAGATTTGATTACCTCATCATCAATTTCAGGAATATAGTTGAATACAGGTTTTGAATCATCCGAATTATTATAATAATCATCACCGAATAATAATTTCATTTTTTCATCATATTTATCTGCATCGAAATCATTTTCATCATCAATAATAACATTCAAATCAATATCTTTTAAATCAAGTCGATCATTTCCAGAAATTGATTTTAATGTTTCAATTTTCTTTTCAATTTCTTCACGTTTCATTTTTCGTAATCGTTTTAATTCCTGTTGTTTTTCCAATTTTTTACGTTCACGTATTTCAGCACGTTTAGATTTTTTATCATTAACAACAGCTGTATCACGTATAGAATCAATATTACGTGGATAACGTTTAATAATTGTTGCATCCGGTTCTTCATAATGAAATTTTGGAACATCTAAATTTTTTCGAATATTTTCAACAACTGATGGTTTGTTCTCTTCCGAAAGCTTTTGCTCATTATTATCATCATCATCGACAATCCTAAAATGACTGTCAACATTTTTATATCGATTCAATCGATTATCATTAGAGTCTAATGTTAAAGGTACATATCCACGATTTAAAACATATTGTTTTAGGAATTTTTCATCTTCATCAAGTTTTTCATCATTTGTCCAAATTTCGGGCAATGATTTTGGTTTGGTCTCTTTTTTCTTAACAATATTATCCGAATGTTTAATTGAAAATAAATCACCATCATCATCATCTGGATTACATTTTTCTTTGAAAATATCTTTAATATCTTTACGGATATTATAAAGTTCTTCATAATAGCCTTCAGGTTGTTGTTGTTGTTGTTCATCATTCGATTTATTATTCAACATTGTTTCATCTTCTTCTGTAATACCTTTTTTCTCTTCAATCAATTTTTCATGATATTTTTGCAATGTAAGCTTTTCAGCTTTTTGTTTTGGAATTGTCTTTTCAGATTCTTTATTTTTGCTGTCATCATCATTATCATCTTTGGTAAAAAATTTGAAATTTTTATCATAAATTTTTGAATCTTTATTTTTCAATGCTGAATATACATTGAAAAAATCATCATCGAAAGGATCATCGGTCAATGATTCACCACTTTCATCATCATCATCACTTGAAGTTTCATTGCTTGAATTGGATTGACCAGCACCAGAATCATCATTACCATCACCATCATCATCAATTTCAGACATAATGTCAAGATTATCACCATATTTATCTTTTAATTTTTGTAGCTCTTCTTTACGGCGCCAATCATCATATTTTTCGGCATAAGAATTTTCAGTATTAATTACGAGTGTCGATGTTGATGATGTTGGTGATGATTGACCAGGATTCATATCAGGCTCTTTATCATTATCATCATCTTCATGATCCGAATCAAAAAGTGTTGCCTTTTGAAATGTAGTCATTTTTGTTTCAAATAATTTGATTATGATTAAAAGAATTTCGAAAATCCATCAACAAAAATGAAATTCTCGAGCACGTGGAATAATGTTCCGTTCATAGAATAGGTTTTTGGATAATTATTATTGTTTATATCCATTTTTGAGAGTATGTTTGTTTGTGTGTGTGTGCTAATTCAATTTATTCCAATTTCAATTTCGATATTAATTTTGAACATTTTCCAAAAACATTTCTTTCAATCATTATTTGATTAAAGATTTTTAAAGTTAAAAAAAAATTTAGAATAACCAATATGGGAGTTCCAGCATTTTTTCGATGGTTATCAAAAAAATATCCATCAATTGTTGTACATTGTGATGATGGTGTTAAAGGTGAATATCATTTCGATAATCTTTATCTCGATATGAATGGTATTATTCATCCGTGTAGTCATCCGGAAAATAAACCACCACCAGCAAATGAAGAGGAAATGTTTTTAGCCATTTTTGAATATGTTGAAAATATAATGAAAATTGTTCGACCAAAAAAATTAGTATATATGGCTGTTGATGGTGTTGCACCGCGTGCCAAAATGAATCAACAACGATCACGAAGATTTCGTGCTGCACAAGAATCATATGAAAAATTGATTCAAATTCAAAAGGTTAAAGATGATTTATTGGCTCGTGGTATCGAAGTACCGGAAAAAGAAGATTCCGCTCATTTTGATTCGAACGTCATTACACCTGGTACTGATTTTATGATAAATCTAAGCGAAGCTTTACGTAGCTGGATTAATCGTAAATTAAGTGAAGATTATGATGATCAACATTCAATATGGCCTAAAGATTTGATGATTATCCTAAGTGATTCATCTGTGCCTGGTGAAGGTGAACATAAAATTATGGATTATATTCGACGACAAAAAGCGGATAAAAATTTCGATGCAAATCTTTCGCATTGTCTTTATGGTGCCGATGCTGATCTTATCATGTTGGGTCTGGCAACACATGAACCAAATTTTACAATTCTACGTGAAGAATTTAAACCAAATCAACCACGACCATGTGATCTATGTGGTCAACTTGGTCATGAGTTAAAAGATTGTACCGGACAACCGAAACCCGAAGAAGAACAAATAAGACCTGCTGATACGGAATTCATCTACATTCGATTGAATGTTCTACGAGAATATCTTGAAAAAGAATGTAAATCGAATACAAGTGTTCAATTGAATTTCGAACGTTTTATCGATGATTATGTTTTTCTATGTTTTTTTGTTGGTAATGATTTCTTACCACATTTACCATCGTTAGAAATTCGTGAAAATGCAATTGATCGTCTAATAAAAATCTATAAATATGTTATGGAAGCTTATCCAGATGCACAAGATATGTATCTAACAAAAAATGGTCATGTCAATAAACATCGTGTACAATTAATATTGCAAGAATTGGGTGAATATGAAGATGAAATATTTAAACAACGACAACAAAATGAACAGAATTTTAAGGAAAGAAATAAACGACGAAAATTAATGCAAGCTGAACAGGATTTACGATGGTTGAAACCAGAAGCTGTTGGACAATCTGAACGTCCAGAAGTGTTTAATAATCCGAGGGAAGAAGCTCACAAAGTGCGTATGGCATATAAAGATCAAGGTTCGAATTCAGCCAAAGATAAACTTGAAAAAATGTTGATCAAACCAAATGATAATAGTGGTGAATCATCGTTGAAACGAAAACGTGAAGATTCAGATAATGATGATAGTGAACCAGAAGATCTGGTACAATTATATAATGATGGATGGAAAGAACGTTATTATAAACATAAATTTGGTGTTGAATTAGTGGATCGTATTAGTAAACAAGTTGCGGATGAATATTTTAGAGGTCTTTGTTGGGTTATGCTTTATTATTATCAAGGTTGTCCTGATTGGAAATGGTTTTTTCCCTTTCATTATGCATGTTTTGCTAGTGATTTCAAAAATATCGAACAAATTGATATTAAATTTGATCGTATGGCTAAACCATTCAAACCATTAGAACAATTGATGAGTGTATTTCCAGCTGCATCATCAAAAAGTTTACCACCAACATGGCGTGAACTAATGTCACGTAATGATTCACCAATCATTGATTTCTATCCGACAACATTCAAAATCGATTTGAATGGTAAAAAAGCTGCATGGATGGGTGTTGCATTGTTACCATTCATTGATGAAGAACGATTGTTTGCAGCATTAAAAACTGTTTACAATGATCTTACCGATAGTGAAAAACGTCGTAATTGTCATGGATCACATTTGATTTTTACATCGAAAAAACATTCAATACTTTCAGATAATATTCGTAATGCAATCGAAAATGGAACGTCCATTGAAAACAATGACACTGATGATGATGTAAATAAAAATAATGAACAAAAAGCCATACCAGCTGCTGAATCAGAACCAAATTTAATATCTGGTTCATTAAGAAAAAGTTCAAACTATTCAATGACTTATTCAAAGACATTATGCTGTGAATTTTATGATCCAACTTATTCGAAAGAATTTATATTTCCAGCAGTAATGTTAAAGAATGCACGAAAACCTGACACTGTTCTTCGTCCACAAGATCTTGATCGATTTGAACGTTATCGTCCAATTATTGGTATGAATAGACGTTCAGATCGTGCCAATTTAGCTGGTAGTGGTCATCGAATGATTGAACGATTAGTACAAAAAGAACATGGTGGTGAACAATATCGTAATGAACAATATCATAATCAATATGGTTATCAAAATTATCGTCATCAACAATATAATATGCAACAATATTCAACTGAAAATCGATATTATCCCGATAATAATAATAATCGATATAATCGACAACAGCAAGATAGTAATCGATATTCTGGTTATAATAATCATAATCATCATTCCAATCCATCTAGACAACAATCAAATTATTCATCATCAAGTTATTATAGCCAACAACAACAACCATCACAACAGAATCAATATAGCACTGGAAGTTATTATCAACAACAACAACAATCATCATCATCGAATTATAATAGTCGATATTCGACAGCACCACCACCACCACAACCACAAGCATCGGGATTCTCATCTTATTATACAAGCGATTATGTTAATCATCATCAACAGCCACAACAACAACATCAACAACGAAGAGGTGGTTATGGAAATTCATCCAATCGATCTTATCGTTGATTCACATGATCAAGTCCATATTAATAAATTTTTTTTTAGGTTTTTTTTCATTTTATTTTCTATATGAATGAATGAATTCAAATTAATTAATCAATCAATCAATCACATTTTCTTTTGAGCGGGACTATTTTCTTTTTCTTTTTTTTGATGATTAAAGAATAAAAAAAAAACAAAACAAAACAAAAAAAAATATATTTTTGATTCAATTTCTAATTGTAATCTACTTGATCATGACCCGCGATACTGTTCGAAAATCGATTGTTGTTGTTATTTTTTTTTCGAATCGACCATCACAATCATTTCTTGTTTTTTCCTGCCTGGTTTTTTTCACTTTGGTCCGTTCATTATTCTTTTTTATCATCGGTGGTTTCATTATCACCACCACCAACATCAACTTCAACATTGGTATCGGGTGATTCTTCAATCAATTCTTCTTGTGATTCAGCTTCTTCAATTATTTTCGATGAATTCAATTTCAATTCAGGTACCAATTTTTCATTTGAATATTGTTCTTCATATTTTTGTCGTTCACGTATTACAATCGGTTGTCGTTCGATGATTAAAATTTCAGCCGATTTATTTCTTGATTGAAAATTACTTGACATTGATGAACCATATGAACCGGCATCCGAAATGATTAAATATTCGCCGGCAGATAATTTATGATTTAATGTAAAATCTCGACAAAAAACATCAGCAGCATCGGTGATTGGACCGACAATATCGTATTTAAAATCCGATGTTATACCACCGACCATTACTGCTTGTTGTTGATGAACTGGTACAATATGATGAGATTGGCCAAGCATAGCAGTACGTGCAAAATCATTGAAACCAGCATCAACAACAGCAAATGTTCGTTTCGCAAACTGATGTTTCAAATGATAATGTGGACCATGTGAACTAATGAATGAACCGGTTCTTGGTGATGTTGTACCGCTAAACGATTCTTGCTTTGAATGACAAGTATTCGTTTTGATGTATTCGATTTTCGTCAATAATACACCAGCATCGGCCATAAAATTTATACCCGGATCTAACACTAATTTTAGGCCACGTTCCAGAATTGGTGAAGCAATTTTTTCGATCCAATTCGAAATCTCGGTTGCATCGGCATTCATTGCATTTAGATTGCCCACAAATTCACCACCAAAATCAAGATGTTCAACACATATTTTTGATTCTTGTCGTAATTCATCAGCTAAATGCAATAATTTATCACGAATCTCTAAATAGCTTTCCAAATGTGTTACATGTGTTCCCACACGACATGAAATGCCTTTGATACGCATTGTTGATGATGCTTTTACCCGTGAATAGATTTCCAATGCATCGGCCAATGGTACACCATATTTCGATTGTGTTGTAATCGAATGACCATGCTGCGAACCTGGACTCATTGTTCCTAATTGATTAATAAGTTAATTTGAATTCATCCATTCAAAATCTCGAAAAAAGAATTACCTTCACTATGTGTATCGGCATTAATTCTAATCGAAACATTTTGAATCTTATTATATTTAACGCAAACACTTTCAATACGATTCAATTCATCCCATGCTTCAGCATTTATACAATAGATACCGGATTTAATAGCAAAATCAATTTCGTCTTGTGTTTTTCCACATCCACTGAACGTAATTCGTGATGGATCAACACCAGCAGCTAAACAACGAGCAATTTCTCCACCCGAAGCAACATCAAATCCTGATCCTAATCGTGATAATATATTCAATACAGCTAGATTTGAATTTGCTCGTACTGAATAGCTAAGCAAAAAATTCTTTTTTTTCAATACACCAGCCAATAGATTGTAATTATCATAGATACGATTAATGTCATAAATGTAAAGTGGTGTACCAAATTCTTCGGCTAAATCTTTGAGAAGAATTCCACCTTTTTTTAAAAAACAAAAATTAATGATTGATCAGACAGCAATTAATCAATTAAATTGAATTGAAACATACCAACTCTTAATTGATCTTCATTATCATAACTATAAATGCTACGTTTACTTTCATTACGTGCCATATATGCACGAACATCTTTTGGATCAGCCGACAAAATATTACCCGAAAGTCTACGTGATAATCGTCGAATCTGTCCAATAAATCCACCATCTTCTTTTTCAGCCATTATTGTATTTTTGTTGTTGTTGTTGTTGTTCACTTTGATGATGATTTTGATGATATTATTATTGGGTTTCAAATAATGATCTTGAAAATTTTCAATTTAATAATTATTGAACGCTGATGATGATTGCCAACCAAAAAAAAAAACCCAATAATAAACAGCCAACAAATTGAAAAAAATGAAAATGAAAATCTAAAGCGATCAATAAGCGATATTTGGTTAGTTAGTTAGCTAGTTCAGTACATGGTTGTCTAATCGACTACAATCAGAATCGAGTTGAGGAGGAAAAAAAATCAAAACCAGATCATTTTTTTTTGAAAATAACAATCGGAGAAAAACAATTTTGATAAACAATTTTTTTTTCATATAGATGTGCTACTGTAACGCCATTTTCATGACAATCTTCACGATTTTTGATGATAAATCACATTCAGATACGGATTTGATGATTAAAAAAAACGACGAAATAAAAATCGGAACAATTTTTTTCTTGATTCGGAGGTTCATGCATCAATCAATCAAAATTGAAAAAAAAATTCCATTTGTTTACCATTTGAAAAAAAAACAGCAAATGCTAATCATTCGCAATGATAATGATAAAAGAAAATTCAAATCCATATCGATTGATTGATATTATTAATCAATAATTTTTAAGTTAGGAAAAAAATGATCTGTGCCGAATCAATTGATTTTTCTTTTTTTTTGACAATTTTACTTGTAACTATGTCTCATTTATTCATTTTTGTTCGGGTAATAATTTTAGAAGAAGAAAAAAATGATAATCAGTAAATACACACAACACCAATGACAATCCAAAGGATCAATATCCCAATATTTCAAATCAATGTCATAGTTCAGCAATAACCAAAAAAAAATTACAATTTCCAAATAAATCACATCACATCATTATCAACAAAGATACATACACACAGAACAGAGGCGTACAATGATGATTGAAAATTAAAAAAGACAAAAATCATTAAAGACAAGCAAGGACATTTCAGTTTCAATGTATATTTATTTATTTCATTCAAATATTTAATCTAATTCAATTGAAATCAATTAAATTACTATTATCGTCTAGTATAGTTGTTTTAGAATAAACTTCGAAAAATGTTTGATATAAATGGTATTAGAAATGGTATTCTTGGTAAATCTGTTTGCCAATTTCGAATCGTACGACTATGATGAACTAAATCAACAAATTCAGATTGAAATGTTTCCTTTAATCGTTCGTTTTTTGTGATGATTACTAATTGGGCTTCATTATCACGATATACAGAACGATAACCAAAATTAGTTGATCCAACCATTGTTAGATAATATTCGGGTGTTTGTAACCAAATTCCTTTACCATGAAATGACCATTTTGGTCGATCATAATAACGTATTGAAATCTGATTCGGATTAGATAATTTATTGATTCTTTGAAGAAATTTTCGTACATAATATGTATAAACATAAGGCACATAACGTAAAAGACCATTTCCTTCATAGAATCCATTAGCTTCTTCTGAAGCCATAAGAATAGTTGTCGGTGGGGAAAGGCAAGAATTTTCTGTCAATTTTTTCTGATATTTTTGAATCAGATTAAAATAACCAGTAGCTATATCGAGTCTGGTTGATTTGGGCCATTGATTTTCAAACAAACATGAAGTAAATTTTTCTTCATCACGAATTTTCAAACTTTTCATTTGTAATAATGGAAAAACAATTGTATCGACAACATCATCATTAATATTATGATGATTAAAGGTTGTTTTAGCTGAAAAATCATTGTTCAAATTTTTGATAGCTTTATGGGCATTAATTTTGAATAAATATCGATGAAAAAATTTTCTTGGATCATAATGCCAATTATCATGTAATTGAAAATCACCGGTTGTATTGAGTTTAAGTGAAAATTGTCCAATTGTTTGAATTAATTGATCAAAATAATCACAAAGTGTTGGTGAATCACGTATCAATATATAACGATCTTGACGATTAGTAAAATATGTATCACTTAAATTTGCACCGCTTATAATAATGTTATTGTCAAAAATGTATAGTTTCATATGATGCAAAGAGATTAATTCATTCCATTTGGGTCGTCGCCATAATCCATAATGTCGACTAGTTAAATGTGTTAAGTAAAAATTTACATTTGCTCCCTGATTTATCAACGGTAATAGAATGGATTTTGAAGAAGTTGGTCCATTGGATTGATCGGATTTCGGTGTTTCACGTGTAGCACGATTATAATCAAGTAAAATTGTTAGATTTAAATCAGGTGATTTTGATTTGGCTTGATAAAAGCTTTCAACAAGATCTTTTTCAAGATGATCGGTTCCTATATACAGTGATGATATGCAAATTCGTTTTGTTGATTGATCAGAAAGATTCTAATTCGAATTTTTTTTTTTTAAAAAAACCTTTAATTAGCTAACAATTGATCAACCAGGTAAACTAACCTTTAAAGTTTCATAAAAATCTACGGGCGTCTTTATGACCGATATATTTGATGAATGTACACGAAAAATTGGTACATCAAATTTTTTATTCAATAACAGATTTAAATTACATAATGAATTTAATAAACGTTTCATGATCGATTTCATTCAAATAATTTTTACCATGTTGCATCATCTGGCATGTGAGTTATTTACTAAATATGATGATGATCAAAATACAAAACAAGATGGCAGCACGGATTTCATTCAAAATCAGAATTTTTTTATCGTTTTTTATTTCAAATAATAGATGGCAATGATTGTTTCAAATCATATTTATAATTTCATAAAATGAAATTGAATAAAAGAAAATTCAAAATGATTCATCATTATTTTAAAATCATTAATTAAATAATAGTTTAATTATTTTTTTAATCAAGAAAAATTACAATTTACAAATTAAGTATATATGGCGGTCAAATGGATCAAAAAAAACAAGAAAGATTGTGTGTGTATTTTATGAAAATTTTGGTCAAATAGATAGATAAATGAGTGAATGAAAACATAGATTATTGATCGATGATGATAAAAGAAAACAATATCGGTTTCTGAATTCCATCGGTAATACCACCAATCAATAATGAATTGAATCAATCGATTGATTATCAAGTCCAGAAATAATGATCGGATAAGATAGAAGAGACAGGTGATGAACAAAAAAAAAGAATCAGTCTACATAATGTATTAATTGAATTTGAAAATGACAAAAGGAAAAAAACTATAATTATGGATCATATCAAAATGAAATTTAATTATATTTGAATAGGATAAACATAATAACATGGTAAAATATTGTCTAAATGATGATGATAATGATAGTGGATTGTGATGATTACAGTACAAGAAGCTACAGAATATTCTTTGTTTTCTTTTTTTGCGATAGAAGAAAGATGATGAACAACAAAAGAATGGGTGAAAAAAAATCCAATAAACGGCAAAAAATGTACAGAAGCTATTTCGGTGTCAAAATAATGATATCTTTGGATCGATTTGATTGATGATTAGTTTGTTAAATTAATCAGTGTAGTCATCTGTTTTTGAGAATAGAGAATATAGAATTAGATCTAAAATGACATATCACGCACACAACTAAAACTTACCAACAAAATTTTTTTCCAATTGTTTCGGTGTATCATCGGTCAAGCACTAGTTATTGATTCTAAATTTCTTTGGTCATTATCGAGATCTTTATTTTTATTTTTATCATTCGATTCGATATCACTATTAACACCAGTATCATTATCATCATCATTAACATCAATATCGGTATCGTTATTATTGGATTTACAATCATCAACCGTCGTGAAAGATCGATGTTGATTTTCTCCATTATCACCATCGGCATTAACTTTGATTCTTTTGCTATTATTAGTAATATTAATCTGATCGGATGAATAGTTTTCCGTATCACTTGATGATGGTGAAGATGATCCGGTCGATGCGGATGATGACGATGAAGATGATCCGGATGCTGATAATGGTGGTGATAATTGACCATTATTATTATCATTATTATTATTATTATCATTATCATCATCATCACTGGATAAATACTGATAATTTTCATTATTATTATTATTTAATGAGAATTTTATTGGATTAAAATTTTTACGTTTTCTTCCCGTATTTTTATTATTAATATTATTATGATGAGTATCTTCTTTAAATGAGAGATCAATACAAATATCATCATCATCATCATCATCATCATCGTCATCGATATCGGCTACCCGAATACCGACATCTCTTCTAACAGTTGAATCATTATCATCATCATCACTTTGACCATCATCATCACCATCGGTATATGTTTCATTATCATCATCATCGTCATCATCATCATCTTCATCAATAATTTCTTCATTTGGTGTTGCCCTTGAACTATGTGATGACATTGAATTAAAATCGATTGCATAATCGGATGATGTTTTAGGTGAATGATCGGATGATGTACTAGCATTGAATGTTGACTTTAATGTTTCTATATTTGTAATAACACCACCATTCATACCGGGTATACCAAATAATGCGCCTGGTGGTGGTGGCAATATCGGATATGGATTAGCCGTACGGCCATCATGTGGATTAATTTTACGACGGAAATTCGGTGTATGTAATTTTGGATTTGGATTGGCACTATGACGATTACGACTACGTCTTGAACTGAACATCATATTACAACCATCGACCGTACATTTATGCATTTCACGTAAATGTACCGCACTGAAATGTATTTTCAATGCACCTTTATCACAAAATGTTTTCAGACAAACACTACATTGAACACGTTTCTTTCCAGTGGTTGGATTTGTTGTCAATGATGATAATATTAATGGATCCCAACGTCGTTTAGATGGATGATTTGATTTACGTGAATGTTTACCTCCACCAGATTGTTTACTGCTATTATTTTTATCATGATTATGACGATGATGACGTTCATGATTACGACGTTTACCAGTTCCACCACCACCACCAGCACCGCTACCGGTTATTGGTTGGCTAAGATTCATTACTGTTTCAACACCGGTGGTAGGATTCATTGAATTGATATTCTTATCATTAGTATTATTTCGATTGCTATTAGCATTAACGTTGCTAGTGTTGTTGTTATTATTAGGACTTGTGGCAGTCGCCGAAGCCGTTGTAGCCGCTGTTGTTGTTGTCGTTGTCACCGCTGCGAAAGGATTGAAATCCAAATTTTTATTGAAAGCAGCAGCCGCTGCTGCTGCGGCTGCTGCTGCTGCAGCTGCCGCATTCGGATTGTTGAGATCAATTTTACAATAATCAGCGGCTGAAAGTGTTCCGGGAAATTTACTGGGATCAGTTGTTGCGGCCAATAATGTAGCCGGATTTAATAATGGAGAAAAATTTGCTAATGATGGTAATGATGATAATAATGAATTAGCAACAGCTGCCGCTGTTGCCGGTGGTTGTGGTTGTAAAAGTGTTGGCTGTGATTGTGCATTAGGTGTTGCCGATGATATCGAAACACCTATGGTGGGTGGTGGTGGTGGTAAAAATTGACCACCATCATGCTGATGTGATGAATGATGATGATGATGATGATGAGAATGAAGATTGTGAAGATCATTATTTGATTTTAGTTTTCTAGCTGAAAATTCATTAAATGGTGATACACAACCACTTGCAGCAGCAGCAGCTGCTGCTGCCATCATAAGATTATCCAATTTATTAAGATTATCATATGATGCTTGATGAATTTGATTCTTTTCTTTTGACGATAATTTATTCAAATCATTTTTTAAATTATTCGATTTGTTTGATTTAATCATTGATTCATTATTATCATTAAAATCATTGGCCAAATATTGTCTATTATTGTTATTGGTAGATTGTTTAGATTTATCTGATGATAATAAATCCTGATTATAATGCTGATGATGATTATTCATTGATGCGGAAGTTGTTGTCGATGATGTTGTTGATGATGATGATGATGATGATATGGAAGAGGTGGTATTACTACTAGAAGATGTTGAATGTTTTCCATTTTTATCATGTTTCGAATGATGATGATGATGATTATTTGATTTCACATTAGTTTCATGATTATTCTTATTAGTTGTAATTAAATTATTATTAATTATTTGACAATTATTATCAATATTATTATTTTGATGATGATGATGATGATGATTATATTTTTTATTAATATTTATAAGCTCATTATAATCATTATTAATTTTCATTTTGATATTATTTGATGATAATTTTTGTGAATTCATTTGTTGTTGATGATGATTATTCAATAATATTGCACTACAACTATTATTTGCCATTAATGATGATAATGAATCATTGATTGCTGATGTTGTTGTTGTATTAGTTGTTGTTGTTGGTGATAAAGCTGATGATGAGTATTGTACGGATGATGCTGTAATATTTGATGCAGTTGTTGAGGCAGCAGCAGCTGCGGCAGCGGATGCGGTTTGTAATATCATTGTTTCATTCATAACAAAATTCTGTGCAATCATTTTGGTTTCAGGAAATTTTAAAAATAATTGTATAATATAAATTTCCTCTTCTTTCGAAACGATTATCCATTTGGTTAGAATATTACCAATTGAATCCTAGTGAAATTTATAAAAATTTGTAAAAAAAATTAGATTTTTTCATCAAAATTGTCAAATTTTAAAAGTTTTAAAATTTGTTTATGTTTCCAATCATCAACAAAGAAAAGAAAAACAGATTCCGAATGTGATTGGTTGACATTTGGTCTAAATAAACCATGTTCAAAAAAAAAATGTTTACAAAAACAAAAATATCACTTGTCCCTTATTACTTTTTATGTCCAAAACAAAAAAAAAATCAAAGCCAGTTTTGAATCCGAGAAAAACAAAAATTCTTATATTCTAAACATTTTGCCGTCATCATCAACAACAACAGCAGAAATGATCAACAAAACGAAATAAGTCAAAAATAATCAAATCAAACCAAAGAAAAAAAAGCCAGAACTTTGGAACTTGCCATTCAACAACAACATTCTTATTCATGTGTGTGTCTGGTATGGATTTTCTTTCTTTCTTTCTTCACTTGCCTGTTTTGTTTTGTTTGGTTTGACAAAATGTTCAGATCAATATAACCGAACCAAACCAAACACACGCACAAAAACTAAACTTTTATTTAGATGATGATGATCTTTTTAATGTAAACATCTACATTAGCAGCAGCAGCCCCAGTGTTGCAACCAATAACAAAACTTGAAGACAATTCCTAACAGAAAATGATGATCAGAAATATTTTTCGTCGCAAAATTATAACCATAACAAAACCGAAAAAACAACACAGATGATCAATCTAAAAGATTTTTAAATATTTCAAAATTTTAGTTTTCAATGAAACAAAAAATTTTAATTTTTAAATACACATTCATGATTTTTGCAGATTTTTTTCTGTTCAAAACAATGTACAGAATAAATTATAATGATGGTGATGATAATAAAGCCTGATCAACAACAGCAGAGATGCTTTTGGTTTTTGGTGCTAAAAATAGCTTCGAGGCATCATCAAGATGGAATTTACATTTTTGTTTTTTCTCTTCTTTTCTTTACAATCAATGTTTGTTCTAATATAATGTTTGTTTGTTTGTTTGATGCATTACTTGTCATCATTATCATCAACAACAACAACAACAAGCAATAAACATGGTCACAAAACACGCCGATGACCAATATCAATAATTAATGATGACCGAATTGAACCGAAAAGTCAAAGAACTTTAAAATGTTCGGATCAGAAAAGCAAAAATTGCATGAATGTCACATTAAAAAACAATTGGAAATTTTTAATTTTTTCCAACAGAAAATCTAAACAGTGAAAAGAAAAGAAAAGCCGATTTACATCATCATCATCTACAACGAAAAAAAAATGTTGACAAATTTTACGATGTTGTTTGAATTCTACATTTTTATTTTATTACACTTTTTTTTCATCTGGATCACATTGGTGGTGATCAAAATAATGATAATGGTGTGTGCATCAGGCTAATAAATTTTTTTTACTTTAAAGCAACATTGCAACAAGTTATTTTTACATCCAATTTAAAGGAATTTTCGCCCAGGATTACCTGTGTGTGTGTGTCGTGTGTTCATTTTTTGTTTGTTTGTTTGTTTGTTGGATGAATTTTGCATATAAAACAAAAAAAAAAAATTCACAACATTTTCTTCATCTTCATCAAGTCTGTTTACTGTCTGTAATTCTAATTCATTTAATTCGTTTTTTTTATTTTATTTATTTATTTTGTCGGTTGAATATCAATCGCAATCGATTGATCGGGAGTAGGAGAAGGAGAAAAAAAAGGTGCGAATCAAACAAAACAACCCGTAAACTTTACAAAAAAAAAGCAAAAGAAATGCCGCTAGTATGTTACATAATAAGAAAACACACTCACTCAGTCATCAATAAAATTTAAAATTTAAAAGTAAAAAAAAAATAGTAACCAGTTATAGCTTCTTTGACCATCATCATCATCAACAAATGAACAACAAGGGTCATTCGGAAATGTTTTTTTTTTATTTCTTTGTCGTCGTTGTTGTTTATGTCATCAATTATTTTATCGATTTAAATAAAAAAAAATTCGGCATCGAATAGATCAATCAATCAAAGGACAAAGATTGAATAATAAGAGAAAACAAACAAACAGAAAATACCGACGTATACAGGTAATGAATGAAAATTTTTTATTTATTTATTTATTTCATTCGACAAACAAACAAACAAACAAACAAACACATATAACAAGATTTGAATAATTGATCTGGACATTATTTTGAATATTGATAATTCAGATGATGGAATGGAATGGATGGATGGTTGGAATCAACGAGCAAAGGAGCAAGATTAAAGATTGTCGTTGAAAGATGTTGCACACACACACACACACACAAAATAACATCATCGTTTTACGTTGCTGAACATCGTTCAAATGAATTTAAATGAATGAATGAATGAAATTCATTGAAATAAAATATTCAACTAATTCCTTTTTTTTCTGTTGGCTATTTAATACGATTATATTCAAGAAAGAAAGATAGAAAAAAAGATTGTTATAAGCATTTTTGCTCTCTCTTCACCTTGTATTTTTTTTTGGCATAAAACATTTTTACATGTCATTTTTTATTTTCGATCATCATATCACATTATTGAATGAAGCAAAAAAAAAATTAAATATCAAGGATTAGTGGAAGAAGAAAGACTTTTCTCTACAATCTGCGAAATAATAATAAAAGAAATCTCTATTTTTTCCTGGCTGTTTTGTTTTTGTTTTTGCTCAATTTATCGATGTCATATTGATCAATATCATTATCATAATCAAAGAAGAAACAAATTGACAGATTGAATTAATATTGAAAAAACGATTATAAACATACCTGTAACATATAACCACGTGAATAATCATCATATGTCCAACCAAATGCATGTAATAAATTAACTAATTCATCATGTTCCAATGTACATAATAATCGATCTAATAATATTTTCAAACGTATTGGTAATGCATGTGTACCGAATAACATTAATGATGCAATATCGAATAATGTATTACCGGTACCGGCAATAATATTTGGTGTTGTCGTTGCCGCTGTTGTTGTTGTTGTTGTAGGTGGTGTATTAGTAAATCCAGGTAAATTATGTGATGCGGCTGCTGCTGCAGCTGCAGCAGCCAATGATGATGCTGTTGGACCATATTTAAGTAATTTATCCAGATTTAATCGTTCCATCACTATATTAATGAAAAAATAAAAACAAAAAAAAATTCAATGAAATTAGTTTTGTTTTGATTTCTTTACGAAAAAAGGTCTTAATATAACGGTGTTAAGTACAACAAAACAAACAAACAAACAAACAAACTCACTAGCTGCAATACGATCTTTATTATTATGACATTTGGCTAATGTAGCCGATATATGATCATTGATTGATTTTAATCGATTATTATTATCATTATCTGTTGATGTATCATTAGTTGTTGTGGTCAACATTGTTTCAGTTGATTGTTTTTGTTGTTGTTGCTGTTGTTGTAAAAAATTCTGTTGTTGACAATATTCCATAGCCAAATGACGAGCCAAATCAATGCCCAGAGTCATTTGGAATGAATTTTTGTTTTTGTTTGTCTCTTGGTTTTGTTAATTTTCACTCATAAAAATTCAATAATATACACCATACGTCATTCACCAAAACAATCACAATATTTTTTATATTAATTTAAATAAATAAATTTAAAAAAGAGAAAAATTGGCACCACGAATACAATTGAGAAGAAAAAAAGAAGAAAAACATCACAAATCGAGATTACGAAAACAAACAAACAAATAAACAAACTAGAAAGGTAAACGACAATTTAATCTTGCTTTATTCTGATTGGTGTGATCGAGAGATAGAGATAGATGTTGTCGCAATCAGCATCAAAGAGACACTGAATTATGAATAAAAACATACACACGACATACACCAAACACCGAACAACTAAACAAAACAAAACAAAACAAAAATATAATAGTAACGACGACGACAACTAAAAAAAACTGGACTTTTTTCAAATCATTCTTCTACGACAACTTTGGACATTGGAATCATAATCATCATCATCATCATTTAACCAAAAGTGGACATCATTGAATCCATTGATAATAAGAATGATGATGACGAGACAAACATTAGTAGAGAATAGTGATGCAGGTGTGTGTGTGTGTATGTATGTATGTTTGCTTCTTGATTGGTAGGAGGGTTACTTATTTTAACTATTTTTTCTACATAATTCTCTCTTTTTTTTCAATAGTTTTTATTTTTTCTCTTTCATTCAACGAAACAAGAAAAATATTCTATCATTGGTAAACATGTAAGGTCAGCTATCTCTCTCACTCGCTTGCTTTCATTTGCTTTTGCCTCTCTTTCATTCATTCATTCATTCATTCAATTGGTGGTAGTATAAGGTCATTTCGTGAAATGAAATGATGATAATGATGAGACTATGTGATGGGTGGGTGGGATAATAGTGATGATGATCATTCAATGATCATCATAGAAAGAGAAAAAAGAGAAAAATAGAAGATATATAACCAAACGACAGATGACATCCGTGTGTGTTTGTGTATTTGTGTATTTGGTTTAGTTCAGTTCAGTTAGTTTCAGGCGACAGATCTGGATTTGGTTTTACATACACATCGAAGCTAAGCTTTTTTTTGGAGATTTGAATTTGAGAATTCAGAATGAGAATATCAAAGTGTGTGTCCTACCTACTAACTAACTAAATTTTTGTTTTTAATTTTGAATATTAAAAAAAATTAACAAACTTTTAATTTAACTAAATATTCAAAAATAGATGTGGTGGCCTTTTTTTCCCTACAGTTGTTCATTACCAGATTGTAATAGATTATATAACCTGCATAAACTTGAATTTTTTTCTTTCTTTATTTCTCTATCCAATCAATGTTGTTGTTGTTACCTAGTCTTTTTTTTCATCGATGATAATAGGTGCGCCGTTTTGTTTTGCTAGCTGCTTCCATCATCATCGTCAAGCCTATCCTTACCTAAAACATTATTTGTCTTCGATTGAATCTGACGAAGAATATCTAGATCTGAAGATGATGATGATGATGATGAATAATTTGAAAAACTAATTTTCTCTATCGCTTTTTTGCCTTTATTCACATACAAATCCAATCAATCTTTTTTCATTTTGAAAAGAAAGAAAAACAAAAAGAAAAGAAATGTCAACACACAAAATACCAGAAGAAAAAAGAAAACCAATCATCAAAAACATATAGGTAAATAAAATTTGAATTTTCTTTTTTGCTGGTGTAATCATCATTATTAAAGAATACCAACAATAATAACCAAAAACTGTGACATGACATTTGACATTTGACATGTGGTCACTCAATAATAATACACCACCATCAGAAAAAAACCTTAAGATCTTTAGCATAAAAGGGATAGACAACAATAGTGTTTTTTTTCGTTTCGTTTCGTTTGTTGTTGTTGTTTGTTGTCGAGATAATTGGATCAAACATGGTTTGAATAAAAAAAAACAAGAATGTCGCCACAATTGAACATTGAAAAAAAGTCTTTAAAAAACCTAGACTTGATGATATTTTTCATTCATCAAAGTAAAGTTGTGGGTGGTTAAGTTTTTGAACAAAAAAAAAAGTCTGACCAACAACAACAAAACCATTGATCACATGATGATGATGATGATCATCATGATCATCATCACATCAACATCAGTATCAACATAAAGATAAATTTGCCGACAGGTAAACCAGGTAAAAGAAAAGTCGAAATGATGATTAAATGAGATCACTACCAAAGAATAACAACCAACCATGATAATGAAAATGGACAATTATTATTTTGGGTAAAAAAGAGAGAGAAAAATATCTCATCACGAATATTGACGAAGACGACGACGACAAAGTCTAAGACTTGAAGGATCTAGACGATCACCAAGTGTGTTTCAGTTTCTATATGTGTTGACTTTTTTTTTGTTCATTAAGTTTTTTCATTCGAAAGAAAAACTCATCCATCAAATAATGATGATTTTTTGTTTTGTTTTGTATAGAAACAAAACAAAAAAAACCCGAAAATAAAGGGCCAAAAAAGAAAGGTAAGAAAACTATGATCAATTTGTTTTTTACCAACCAACCAAACAAACAAAATTCATTTTCGTTTTTTTGGCTCAACATGTTTCCCACCTTTTGCTTGATCATCATTATCATCATCAATGATGACGATCATCACCATCATCACCACACAATCCTTTTACCATTTGAAAAATCATCATCGATTCGTTTCGTTTCGTTTTAAACAACAAAAATTATAATTGGCGACAAGCGAACAGAAATAAAAAATATGGAGTTTAAAGAAACGAAAAAACAAAACAAAAAAATCCAAGAGTTAATTATTGGTGTCAGTATTTTTGTTTTTAAGAAAAATGCCGACGATCAACCATAAGTGAAAACAAACTAAGAGAGGGACCCAAAAATCTCGATAGAAGATGTCAATTGTCAAATATCAATGTTGTTGTTCTGGTTATTGTTGCTAAACAAACGACCATTAAAAAGTTCGTCGTAGTCGTCGACATTTTGATAAATGTCTTTAAACAATAAATAATTCTTTCGAATGAAAATGAAGGTTCCAAATGAAGGTACCTGTATGATATTATCGACATACATACACTTAGAAAGCGAAATAAGAAAGTAAATGTCAGTCGGTCGATTTTTTTTTTGTTTTGCTTGATTCTCAATGTCAAATCCAAGGTGAAACCACCACCACCACCACTATGGTCCATAAGTGTATCATCGTTTGTATACACCTTGATTCGATTTGGTCTATCTTTATATTCAACAACGAACGAAAACTGTAATTAAATTGAGCGAAAAAGTCACCAAAAAAAAGAAAAAGAAAAATACCACTTGTGGTGTGATCATCATCATCATCGATGATCATCGGCGTCTAATACGAAACCAAAAAAAAAGCAAACATAAATGTCAAAACCAAATAAATGCCGAAATAGATGACATACTAACGTTTGACATTTGACATTTGACATACAAACACACCGAATGAGAGAGAGTGAGTGAATGAATGAAAAATTTGGAACCCTCAACAACAACAACAAGTGTAAATTAAAATCGATTTATCATTCAAAGAAGAGAAAGGTATTTTTGGGAAGATTTTCAATGAAAAATTATTATTAAATCGATTAAGTAAATCAGATTTTTTTTTCTGTTCAAAGAAAAAAATCCAGGATAATGATGATAATAAGCAATTAAAAGTGCATTGGATTTTTTTTCACCAATCGCCTATCAATTGATATCGTGTGTATTCGATATATGATATCGATTGATATCGATATTTGATCGATTGATTGATATTTTCTTGACTTGATCATCAAATTTCAGTTTAGATTTTTTGTATTTTTAAATTCAATTCCTAGACTAATAGTCATGATGATCATGATAATCATTTATTTTCCGAATAGACAAACGTGAACATAGATTAGTGTTTATCGATTGATTATTGATTTCAATGTATGAAAAAAAAGAGGAAATTTTATTTCAAATTTTGCTTTTTTAAATGATCCAAATAATGTTTAAACGATAATGATGATTATGATTATGATGATGATCAAATCACATAATCAGTATGTGGATCATAATTCATAATTTTTTTCTTTTTCTTCTTCTTCTTGATGATGATGATGAACATCGTGCATTGCTCTCCATCATTTATTCACTGTATTTTTTTTTGTAGCCTGATCGATCAGTTTGTTAAAGGTTGTCGAGATTCGGTCATTCCATATTATAAATGTATAGTGAATATAATTAAACAACAACATCCTCATCACCAACTAAAGAATTAAAAAAAAAAAGGTAAAACAAAAACAAAAACGCAGCTGCACATCCTTAATTCAACACAACGACATAGTTGAATTTCTTTTTTGACTAGTCTTAAGTAGGTAGAGTAGGAAAAGATTTAAAGAGAGAGAGAAAGAAAACTTGTCCACAAATTTATTTTATCGCTATCGACTTGTCTCTTATAAATCAATCGATCGATCGATAGATCAATTGATTTGATCGAATTGCAGAAAAAAAACCAGTTAAACGATAAATAAACCTGTTCAAAAATGTCAGGATTTTCATTGGAAAAACAACAACAACAACAACAAGCTAAGCATCTCACAAAAACAAAAAACAATGTTACTCATTGATCACGATTTTC